AGACTAAGTTCATGACAATTAAGTTCATCTAATCAAATTATTTAATGAACTCCCACTCAGATAGACATCCCTCTAGTCATCTAAGTGATACATGATCCGAGTCAACTAGGCCGTGTCCGATCATCACGTGAGACGGACTAGTCATCATCGGTGAACATCTTCATGTTGATCGTATCTTCTATACGACTCATGTTCGACCTTTCGGTCTCTTGTGTTCCGAGGCCATGTCTGTACATGCTAGGCTCGTCAAGTCAACCTAAGTGTTTTGCATGTGTAAATCTGACTTACACCTGTTGTATTCGAACGTTAGAATCTATCACACCCGATCATCACGTGGTGCTTCGAAACAACGAACTTCGCAACGGTGCACAGTTAGGGGGAATACTTTCTTGAAATTTTATGAGGGATCATCTTATTTATGCTACCATTGTTCTAAGCAAATAAGATGTAAAACATGATAAACATCACATGCAATCAAATAGTGACATGATCTAGCCAATATCATTTTGCTCCTTTTGATCTCCATCTTCGGGGCGCCATGATCATCATCGTCACCGGCATGACACCATGATCTCCATCATCGTGTCTTCATAAAGTTGTCTCGCCAACTATTACTCATACTACTATGGCTAACGGTTTAGCAATAAAGTAAAGTAATTACATGGCGTTATTCATTGACACGCAGGTCATACAATAAATTAAGACAACTCCTATGGCTCCTGCCGGTTGTCATACTCATCGACATGCACGTCATGATTCCTATTACAAGAACATGGCATATATATCACATACATCACATATATATCACATATATATCATTCATGACATCCTTTTGGCCATATCACATCACACGGCATATGCTGCAAAAACAAGTTAGATGTCCTCTAATTGTTGTTTCAAGTTTTTTACATGGCTGCTATAGGTTTCTAGCAAGAACGTTTCTTACCTACGCCAAAACCACAACGTGATATGCCAATTGCTATTTACCCTTCATAAGGACCCTTTTCATCGAATCCGATCCGACTAAAGTGGGAGAGACAGACACCCGCTAGCCACCTTATGCAACTAGTGCATGTCAGTCGGTGGAACCTTTCTCACATAAGCATACGTGTAAGGTCGGTCCAGGCCGCTTCATCCCACGATGCCGCCGAAACAAGATAAGACTAGTAGTGGCAAGTAAATTGAAGAAATCGACGCCCACAACAAACTTGTGTTCTACTCGTGCATAGAAACTACGCATAGACCTAGCTCATGATGCCACCGTTGGGGATCGTTGCAAAAATTAAAAAAATTCTACGCATCACCAAGATCAATCTATGGAGTAACTAGCAATGAGAGAGAGGGGAGTGCATCTTCGTACCCTTGAAGATCGCGAGACAGAAGCGTTACAAGAACGCGGATGAAGGAGTCGTACTCGTAGCGATTCAGATCACGGTGGATTCCGATCTTAGCGCCGAACAACGGCACCTCTGCGTTCAACACACGTGCAGCCCGGTGACGTCTCCCGCGACTTGATCCAGCAAGGAGGAGGGAGAGGTTGAGGAAGAGGGCTCCAACAGCAGCATGACGACGTGGTGGTGATGGAGCAGCAGTTCTCCGGCAGGGCTTCGCCAAGCTCTTGCGGAGGAGGATAGGTGTTGGGGAGGGGAGGGGCTGCGCCTTAGATGTGGTGCAGCACCCCTCCCTCCACCCCTCTATTTATAGGGAGAAGGGGGAAGGGGTCCGACCCCTCTAGATGGGAGCTAGAGGGGAAGCGGTGGCCAAGGGAGGGAGGGGGCTTGCCCCCCAAGCCAAGGGGGTGCCCTATTTAGGGTCCCCCCAAACCCTAGGCGCATGGGCCCTAGTGGTGGGATACCCACTTGGGGCTAGTTCCCTTCCACCTACAGCCCATAAGGCCCTCCGGGGCAGGTGGACCCTCCCAGTGGACCCTCGGAACCCCTCCGGTGGTCCCGGTACAATACCGGTATACCCCCGAATATTTCCGGTGACCGTATGATGACTTCCCATATATAAATCTTCACCTCCGGACCATTCCGGAACTCCTCGTGATGTCCGGGATCTCATCCGGGACTCCGAACAACATTTGTTAATCACATACAAATCTTCCTTATAACCCTAGCGTCATCGAACCTTAAGTGTGTAGACCCTACGGGTTCGGGAATCATGCAGACATGACCGAGACAGCTTTCCGGCCAATAACCAACAACGGGATCTGGATACCCATGTTGGCTCCCACATGTTCCATGATGATCTCATCGGATGAACCACGATGTCGAGGATTCAAGCAATCCTGTATACAATTCCCTTTGTCAATCGGTACGTTACTTGCCCGAGATTCGATCGTCGGTATCCCAATACCTCATTCAATCTCGTTACCGGCAAGTCACTTTACTCATTTCGTAATGCATGATCCCGTGACCAACTACTTAATCACATTGAGCTCATTATGGTGATGCACTACCGAGTGGGCCCAGAGATACCTCTCCGTCATACGGAGTGACAAATCCCAGTCTCGATTCGTGTCAACCCAACAGACACTTCCGGAGATACATGTAGTGCACCTTTATAGCCACCCAGTTACGTTGTGACGTTTGGTACACCCAAAGCATTCCTACGATATCCAGGAGCTGCACGATCTCATGGTCTAAGGAAATAATACTTGACATTAGAAAAGCTCTAGCAAACGAACTACACAATCTTGTGCTATGCTTAGGATTGGGTCTTGTCCATCACATCATTCTCCTAATGATGTGATCCCGTTATCAATGACATCTAATGTCCATAGTCAGGAAACCATGACCATCTGTTGATCAACGAGCTAGTCAACTAGAGGCTCACTAGGGACATGGTGTGGTCTATGTATTCAGACATGTATTACGGTTTCCGATCAATACAATTATAGCATGAACAATAGACAATTATCATGAACAAGGAAATATAATAATAACCATTTTATTATTGCCTCTAGGGCATATTTCCAACATTTCTGCCCGAGTGCGCGGTACACGAGCGATGAGTACCTTCTCGCTGCTTCCGTCTCTGAGCTGTTCCCTCTCCCATCGTTAGCTCGAGCCACCCTTCCGGATCCTTGTTGGCTCACTGCGATGCAGGAAGAGTTCGCCGCGCTTCAACGGAATCGTACCTGGCAGCTTGTCCCTCGGCCGCCACATGCCAACATCATCACGGGCAAGTCGGCCTTTCAGTACAAGACTCGTTCGGATGACACTCGAGCGCTATAAAGCTCGCTGGGTGGTTCGAGGCTTTCGGCAACGCGCGGGCGTGGACTTCACCGACACCTTTGCCCTGATTGTTAAACCGGGCACGATCCGCACCGTGCTCCAGCTAGCCGTCTCCCGAGCTTTGGCCTGTGCATCAGTTGGACGTTTCCAACGCCTTCTTGCACGACCACCTCGCTGAGCAGGTGTTCTGTGAGTAGCCCACCGGCTTCATCGACGCCACACATCCAGACCATGTGTGCTTGCTCTCCCGTTCCCTTTACTGGTTGAAGCAGGCACCTCGGGCTGGTACCATCGCATCGCCGCATTCCTGCAGATGCTCGGATTTACATCGACTCGCTCCGATGTGTCCCTCTTCGTGTACTATCACGGAGTTGACATGGCCTACTTGCTGCTATACGTCGATGACATCATCCCGAAGGCATCCACTGCGGCGCTCCTCCAGCGGCTTACTGCTCGTCTTCGCGATGAGTTTGCCCTGAAGGACTTGGGGCCCCTGCACTACTTCCTTGGCATTGAGGTGGTTCGACGGCCAGATGGGTTCTTCCTGCACCAGTAGTGCTACGCCCATGAGCTTCTTGATCGAGCTGCCATGCTTAACTGCAAGCCCGCTCCCACGCCTATCGACACCAAGGCCAAGGTTTCCACTCTGGAGTGTTCTCCCGCATCCGATGCGGCCTTCTATCGCTCCATTGTGGGTGCTTTGCAGTACCTGACCCTGACGGCCCCGACTTGTAGTATGCTGTTCAGCAGGTCTGCCTTCACATGCATGCTCCGCGCGACTCTGGTGAAGCGTATCTTCCGATACATATGTGGCACCCAGTCCATGGGACTTACTTTGATGGCCTTCGCCTCCACCGACCTCATCGCCTACTCTGATGCGGACTGGGCTAGCTGCCCGGACACACGACGCTCCACCTCGGGGTACTGTGTCTACCTTGGGCCGTCTCTGATCTCTTGGTTCTCCAAGCGACAGCCCACCGTCTCCCGCTCGAGTGCCGAGGCTGAGTATCGGGCAGTGGCTAACGCCATTGCTGAATGCTCTTGGCTCCGTCAGCTGCTCCAGGAGTTGCTTTTGTGATGTTCACAAGGCCATGCTCGTCTACTGCGACAATGTTTCCGCCGTGTACCTCTCGCCAACCCAGTCCACCATCGTCGAACGAAGCATATTGAGCTCGACATACACTTCGTTCGTGAGCAGGTGGCTCTTGGGCGCATCCGATTCCTCCACGTCCCGACGACGCATCAGTTCACTGATGTCATGATGAAAGGACTGCCTACTTCTGTTTTTGAGGAGTTCAGGTGCAGTCTTTGCTTCTTCGGCGACGCTTCAACTGCAGAGGGTGTTGAATATATGGTTTGTGCATGTATATTGTATAGCCCGGCCCACCTCCTAATCATTGTATAGTTGAGGTTGTGGCCCACCTTATACTCCATATAGTGGCGGACCCAGGAATTGTTGACGCCCCAGGCGAACAACTAATGGCTAAAAACTACCCAGAAAAAACTTCAATTTCAAGGCATACAAGAATCAATCTATGTTTTGCATAACTAATAATAAACCAGACATGATGTTCAATGGCAGCATTTGTTCCATGATGGTCAACTAATAAAGCAAGACAAATCAAAAGACAATATGTGGCATAGATAAATGATACAGAAGTTTGATACCAAATCAAATGATTGGTTGATCTGAGCCTCCCATGACTACATCTTCAATAGCAGACATCGCTAAACCTTCAATCATCAATTTTGAAATGTGAATCAGTGCATAATATAGCAGGCAAAACTAATTAACGATAGATGCAAAATGTGAAAACTTACGTGTAGGATGAGGCAAAACACCTTTATGTGTGTGATAACCTTGAAATCGCTCAATGATTTTGGATTCTTCTATAGTAACAAATACATATCTCTTAATGTAACATACCATTCTATGATTCATCCAATCATCACCCATTTTGTTCCTCAATCCGGTCTTGATAATGCTCATTGCTGAGAATGCCCTTTCCACAGTTGCGGTTGCAACAGGTAAAATCAATGCTAACTCAACCAGACGGTAAACTAAGGGAAAAGTTGTGTGCATATCACTTTTAACCATATTCATGGCAAGATGACCAAGATCATTGCAATTCATCAAATGTGGATCACCTCTTGCTTCCCGAATGAATGAGTCTAGTTGGTTTCTAAGGACAAAAGTAACTTCATATGTAGAGAAGTCAGCAGCATACATATTAGCAAGATCTACTAGCTTGTCTTCATTATAATTGGCAAATGAATTCTTGGGATCAAGACAAGCAATGCATCTCAACAATTGAGTAGACCTTTCAGCAAAGCGGTTGTTCAACTCCACAACAAGTTGATCATGCAACACATTGAATATTTCAATTTTGAAATGATGGTTGTAAGTTACCAATTGCCCACCCCAAGACCTTTAGAACTGGTTTCCACATCTCAACAAGACGACACAATGTTTTATGATGTGATCCCCACCATGTATCACCAGGTCTTGCAAGGTTAGTTAATTGGTTTTTCCCTTTTCCCTCAAGAAGTTCCCCGGACTCTATTTGGCGTACTATTTCATCATGTTGCTCTTGGGCTAACTAATCATGTCTTTTACAAGAAGCATTAACAATGTTAACAACCATGCTTGTGCACTCAAAAAAAATCCCTTACTGATGAACAACACTTGGCAACAGCAACAACCACTAATTGTAATTGGTGGGCAAAACAATGTATATAATGAGCATAAGGATTTTCCGCCAAGATCAATCTTTGCAACCCACGAAATTCCCCTCTCATGTTTGAAGCCCCATCATAACCCTGCCCTCTCAAATTAGACATAGATAAGCCAAGATTACCAAACATACCATCCAGAGCTACCTTCAGTGAAGTTGCTTTAGTGTCAGGAACATGCTTAACTGCCATGAATCTCTCAATCACCTCCCCTCGTTTGCCGAGATACCTACATAAGACAAAGGAGCATGATTAATATATAAGAACTTTAAGAAAATACACCTATAAGGCTACAATAACACACACACAAGCAAATGTACTGACCTCAAACACATAGCCATTTGCTCCTTCATAGATGCATCTCTGGACTCATCAACGAGTAATGCAAATTTACTATCTCCAATCTCCTCAAGAATGGCATTGGTGGTCTCTTTTGCACAAGCCTTGCATAAATCCTTTTGTATCTTATGTGATGTCAGCTTATGGTTATCTCCCGCATCCCCAAATAATTTTGCCACCTTTGGGTCTTTCTTTATGAACAAGTCCAACAACTCTTTAAAGTTACCCTTATTCATTGAGCTAGTAGACTCATCATGACCACGAAAAGCAAGAGCTTGTAGTATCAAAAAATTGACAATACCCAATATAATCAAGAGACGGGCTTTGTATTCTTCTTCTTGCTTCTGAGAACCCCTATCAAAGACATGTGACAGATTTTGTCTTTGATTTTTGAAATCCTCATAATGTTGCCTAGATTTATTATGAGCACTATCATGCTTGCCAACATGTTGATTAAAAACTTTAGGTCCATCCTTCCAAGATTTGAATCCATTTCTCGTGAATGCTTCAATACCATAGTTTTCAGCTCTTGGTTGCTTAAACATAAAACAATAAAAGCAAAAGGCTGATTTTTTTTTCAATGCTATATTCCAACCAGCCGCGATGATCATTGAACCAATAGTCATGAAAGCTCCTACCATTTATATTTTCATATGTATGATTAGTTGGTTGGCAAGGACCCATACTAATGTACTCCCTTCTAGCAAGATCTCTAATGTCTGGATCTAACTCCTCAATTGGTATTCTCTTACCGGGGTCAGATTCAACATCACCTGGTTTGAGTTCAGCTCTAACATTAGGGGCAGCCATGGATCCAACATCAATTGTTTGAGCTGAAGGACCGGTTTCTGCGGCTTTGGTGGTTCAAACTTGAAAAGATAATTCAATGTCTTGTTTCTTTTGCTCATCTTGAGCTCCTATAAAATTTTAGAGAAACAAAAATTTCTCAATGTCAAAATTGGTTTCTACATGACACATCTAACAAACAGAGAAACAGTGGCATCTAGCAACTAAAATCATCATCATCATCCAATCGAGTACTGACAAGACAATGGCATCTATAAACAAAAACAGGGCATCAAGCCATCAAAACAGGGCATCAACCTCGCTAGACGCCGGGCCGGGCAGCCTGCAGGCTGAATCCTCGCGCGGTCGCGTCCTATCCGGGTTCGCTGCCTCGCGCCCTCGCCGCCTCGCCGGACGCCGGACACGGCGACCAAGGCAGCAACCCGCACTCCCGCAGGCCCGCAGCGGCAGCGGCACAATCGGGTGGGGGAGGGGGGCGGGCGCTGAAACGGGGGGCGCTGGAAGGGGGGGATCCGGGCGGATGGAGGCAAGAAGCTGACTGGCGACACCGCAACGGCGAGCGGCGACGGGCGACGGCTTAGGGTTGCGGCCTTGCGGGAGAGCGTCTCGCTGTCGAGTTCGTGCGGCCGTGCGGGTGAGTTGGCCTGGGGCGGCCTGCCGGCTGGGCCTGTTCGCCTGGGCTGCCTGGGCTTGGACCTGGGCTGCGCCCCAGGCCAAAGTTTTTTTCTTTTAAATATAGGCCTACGATTTTTTCCACGCCCCAGGCAATGGCCTGGGCTGCCTGGGCCCAAATCCGTCCATCACTCCATATATACGTGTGCTATGCACCGATTAATACATGGTGAAGCATTGCTCCAACAGCCACGGCCCCTCCACCAAAACGCCGTCGCCGAGCTGATGCAACCCTTGGTCGGCCGCAGGTGCATCACAGCGTCTCCGTCGTCCATCGCGGCGTCGACTTGCGCGCTGTTCCGGCAGAAGAGAAGATCTCCACCGCCGCCCTCGCCATGTCGTGCTGTGCCGGCTGTTAAAAGAAATAGCACATTAGCGATACTCACATTGCTCTTATTCCTAAGAAGTTAGTTCCTCGAATTCCTTCAGATTATCGGCCTATAAGTCTTTGTAATGTCATTTACAAAATCATTTCCAAAACCTTGGCCAATAGACTCAAACCTCATCTCCCTGATTATATTGATCATTCTCAACAAGCTTTCATTGAGGGTAGACGCATATCTAACAATATCATCTTGGCTCAGGAGATAACTCATTCGTTTGCTCTTAAATCTTGGAAACAACAAGCTTTCTTGCTTAAAATTGATTTGGCTAAGGCTTTCGATCGACTTGAATGGAATTTCATCGTTTCGGCTCTTTCGCGAAAGGGGTTGCACGGTCATTTCATAAATTTGGTGTATGCTTGCATCTCTTCCCCAAGGTTCTCAGTCATTATTAATGGCCAGCCTTTTGCAAATTTTCGTAGCAATAGAGGTTTAAGACAAGGTTGTCCCTTATCGCCTTATCTGTTTGTTCTTGCTATTAATGAGCTTTCTTTAAGCCTGCATGATGCTATGATACAAAATAAACTGTCTGGCATTTCTCTTGGTCCAAACTGTCCACCTATTCATTCAATGCTTTTTGCTGATGACTTGTTGGTTTGTGGTAATGCCACAGTTCAGGAAGCTACCCAAATGGCTCATCTCATCAACCACTTCTGTTCCCAATCAGGTCAGACTCTAAATTGGCACAAATCTTCTATTCTTTTTAGTGCTACTGTCTCCCGGTCTCTAGCCCAACATATTAATAATATTTTCCCAGTTACCCTTATTGATAGTACATCAACTCACCTTGGTCGCCCTCTCATCCTTCCTGCAAAGGACCGTGCTTCGGCTTACAACTTTGTTTATGATAAATTCAAGAATAAGCTTCCCACTTACAAAGCTGATAAATTATCCCATGCTGCTAGACTTGAGCTTATCAATTCGGTGTTCGCTTCCATACCTGTTTACTATATGTCCAATATCCTCTTTCCAAAAAAAAATCCTTGCGAAGCTCACGGCAATCATTCGTAATTTTTGGTGGGTTGGTGTTAGAGAGGAAGCTAGTGCAAGAGCTTTATGTCTTAGGGCTTGGAAAGATATTTGTACTCCTAAAAAAGAAGGTGGATTGGGAATCAAAAACATGTTGGCTATGAATCAAGGTCTCCTTCTTGCGGCTGCCTGGAGACTTGCTGAAAATCCAGAAAGCCAAGTCTATCAAGTTCTCCGTGCTAAGTATTTTCCTGATTCTTCCATTTGGAGAGCTACTCCGAATACTCCGAAATCTGCTTTCTGGACTTCTATTCTCAAGGTCTTGCCGATGCTCAAGGAGCATTCTTTTTATCAGATCACCCAAGGCAACATTTCTATTTGGAGCTCACCTTGGTGTACCACTTGGGAGAACATATATGATCACCTTATTGTCCAGCATAGTGCTTTTATTTACCCGGCTAAGGTCTCTGATCTTTGGCTTCCAGGCCAAAAACTTTGGAATTCTGAGTTCATTACTAACCTTTTTCAGGAACCGACTGCTTCGGCTATTATTGCAACTCCTATAGTTCTTGATGATAGTAGGGATATCCTTTGTTGGAAGCCCACTCCTTCTGGTAAGTGCAATTCTAAGAGTACATATAAGTTGTGTTTACAACAAATTCATAATTTGCAGGTAAATCAACCAAGACAGGTGAACCAATCAACCAAAGATATTTTGCAGCAGGTCTGGAAGCACAAATTCATGGCTCCAAGGGTTAAAACTTTTGCGTGGCGCTTACTTAGGCATGCTCTCCCAACTGGTCTTAGAGCTGGCAGGTTTTCCTCTCATATTTCTTCTACATGCTCTAGATGTGATTCAGATGAAGATGAAATGCATCTTTTCTTTCTTTGCAACTTTGCTAGAGCCTCTTGGTTCGGACACCCCTGGTATATTAGATCTGATATTCTTGCTCTCAATCATAATTCTGTTCTTGATATTATTCAGGTTCTAATTAACATGAACCATCCGCAATCATCTATTCCTAATATATTTACCTTCTTGTGGTGTTTGTGGAAAGCAAGAAACGATGTTCTTTTTTGTAGGAAAGAATCACATCCCCATCAGGTTCACCAAGCTGCTCTAGCCATCGCCTCTGTCCAAGATATACAAGATCCCCAAGAACACCTAAATAGGGAGCTGCCTTCATCGAAGGAGAAGCAATCTACAACCATACTCTCTCAAGGGCAAGAACAAGTACAGCAAGGCTCCACCCTCAAATCTGACTTGGCTATTTCAGGTACCAAAATATATTCAGACGCTTCTTGGCATAAGAAGAATGTGCCTGGGTATGGTGGTAATCCGGCTACTGGTATTGGTGTTCACATCCTTTTCCCTGAAGAGGGTTCTGATTCAAGAATAATGATTCAAGCCTCTACTCATGATGTTTGTTCACCTCTTATTGCTGAAGTTTATGTACTTCTATTTGCTACTAAAATCTCTTGCAGGCTTCAACTTCAGCAAGGTTCTTTTCTCACTGACAATCTTTCATTAGCAAAGATGGCTGCTTCAAGAGATATCAATAACACCAACATCAGCTGGAGGTGCAGACAACCAATTAGCGAGTTCTTTCAAATCTCCCATTCTCTTAATGCTGTTTATCACATCTCTAGGAATACCAATGGAATTGCTCACAATTGTGCTCATCAGGTTCTCAACCCGAGAGTAGAACCTGTCTTTAGTTGTTCACGTTCCTCTCATGCCAATGTACCTTGCCCTTTTCTGCAGTCCCTTCTCAATTTTCAAGTTCAGGGCTATGTAATTCATGCTGTACATTGTCTATGAGTTGAATGAAATTGTGGCGCTTGATGGCGCCTTCCTTGTGTTCAAAAAAAAAAAGAAAAGAAACAGCACAGTAGCAGAGACGGCAACGTGTCCGACGTAGAGCACGTGGAGTCACAGGGTTGGCCGGCTTTTGACTTTTTGACAGAACATCTGCCCGAGCCGAGCAGTGGATGGTTGACCAATTCCGACGCGGTCGTCGCGCCGGCCCACTAGCTGCCTCAAAACCCACCCAATCCGCCGGAATTCCTCAGTCGGCAAAAAAAAAGACCCAGCACCATCGGCGCAGGCGGCCGGGCGATTTAGATTTGCTTTCCCCCCTTCGCCTCCTGCGACAGATCGGGGATGGCCGCGCGGTCTCGGGCGCGCCGCCTCCTGCCGCTGCTCACCTTCGTCGCCCTCGGCATGGTCCTGGGTGCGCGCTCTCCCCTCCCCGCTTGCCCCCTTGCTCAGCTTCCCCTCTCGCCTCGCCGTGCCTTGATCTGGGTCGGGCCATATGCTACTGCCGTGTTCCCTTTCTCGTGCCGACCTGGAATCTCGACGCTTGGAGATTTCGCGCTGATGGTTTGGCTGATGACGTGAAATGTCCCGATGAGGCGTTTCGGTTGTTGAATGGGGCGTGCTGACTGCATGCTGCTAGGTTGCTGGCCGACGCTAAAGTTTACGCCTTGTGGCTCTAATGGTGATAACCGTCGGGAGATTGCCAGAAAATGGATAGCGTCGGTGGCTGCATTGGGGCCGCACCTTCCGGATCGGAGTCGATTTTACTGCTCCAAGATCACTTGGAGGGAACTGAACTTGCTGCGGAAGCATGGAGCATCCTGGCATCTGTGAGGCCGGAGTTACATTCGTGCCTGTTGCTTCCACGTACATGCCCATCACTCTGATGTCAGAT